GACTCTCTTTTTCAAGCGGCAAAGTACTACTAGTTCTGTTAAATGAGGGAGTGTTCACCCCTCCGCCAACCCCTTGGTCGGCGGCTAATTTCTGGAGAAGTCTGGTGAGATGATTGGTGGTTTGTGGAAAGAAGGGGGGTTATGCGGGATGCGAAGCGTCCTATTCAGCGAAATTCCCCCTACGTCAGGACGTGCCATGGTCCCGATTTCCGTATCCTGCTGGAATTTCCTCACTGAAGTGAATCACCCACACTCATCCCGTGCTACTGGATTCAGCGGGGCATCAAAAGCACTGTCCGTGATAGGAAGTGTAGATGCTGGTGTTGAAATATAGAAGAGCAGGGGACTCGCCACTGCAGCGTAAACGCAGAACGAACGTCGGTAACGCCCCTAACAAGACCCCGCTGACCTCAATGCCGAAAGACCGCGTCCTGCGACGAGTCCAGTCAGCAGATTCTTTGTAATGGATACTACGACTTCACAAGAGACAAGGCTTTTATCGCATGCCCATTGTCTAATAATAACTTCTTTCGCTGGAAGGCAGACTATGAAGGCGGAGTCTGGAGGCGGAACCACTACGAAAAGGGAGGTGTTAGTGGGACAACTTTGAGCCCTAGCTATTTCACTTTGAGCTTCAGCTCTTTTACCTCACAACTTTCCGTACCAGACACAAAGCTGCCCAGCAGATCGCCTTTACCTTTCCAACGCAATTATAGGTTACATTTCATAAGTCATTGTAGCCCGTTCCTTAAAGCAAGCTGAAACAAGAGATCCAGTCGATAACAAACACTATGGTTTTGATATTCCTAGTTGTGATCCAATTTAGGCAACCAAGCAGCTCGCTTTTGGGGAATCTTTCTCGCATTTCCCACTGGGTCATGGTTTCCTCCATTACTGGATATCACCTACGGGGACTGTTTGTACATGAGGGAGGCGCAGTTCGGCGACGGGGGGGGTGGCATTTTGCACTTTCGTTGCTGCTCACTAGTTCCGGTTTACAAGTCTCACTCTGGTGAAACCTGTGAACTCTTGTGAAGCTGGAGCAAGCTCGTCAAGCCATCATGGTAAAACCTGTCAACTCGAGAAGAGGCTGTCTAGATGGGTCGACACGTCGATGGGAAGTAGCAAAGTGCAAAATGCCCCCCCCCCCCCCGCCAAGTCGCGGAAATGTGCCCATGAGGGACGCCAGTCATTTATCGTGACTAGTCTCCTTCTGACAGCCAGGAAGAAAACCCCACAATATTTATCATGCGATCACCTTATGGTCATCTGCCCCACCTTCTGTAACTTCAAAGTTGGAAGCTCCGGAGCACGTCATACGCTGGGGATTCTCAGCAAGGAGGGGGTCGTATTTGGTCGCTGTAGGGAGGCTATCGGTCGAGTAACTGAGAAGCTGGTTTAGCTCCTTCGAGAAGCTTGGCCTGTGAAAACAGTGGTTCCGCTACTTCTTCACTTTCCACCCATTAATACTCATTCGTTCAAGTCTATGTCATTTTTCTATGTTTCCCATTTGCAGCTCCGAGTTTGTTCGGCGCAGTTCGGCTTGGTGGGGGCAACAAATGGTACTAAGCATCTACAGGCCACCGAAGACCTGTAAATTCCTATGACCAAAGTAGCTCACTTGTGTAATTCCGCAGCTTTACGAGAGTTTAGTCTCCCCTGGTAAGACCCGCTGGGGAACACAAACGAACAAAAAGAGCTAGCTATCGTGCAAAATGCCCCCTCGAAGCCAAACGGCGTCAGTTTTTCTTTTTACTTAACCTTTTTCGTCGATGTTTAGCTACGAGTTAGCCTGGTGGACATAAGTTTGCCGTATGTGAAAGTGAAACTAATCCCCGAGACTAACGAGTCGCACTCTCGTTTTACGATCGGTTCATTGTCCTTGTCCAAAGGTGAACGGGTCGATCGATATCTATTAGGATGACCGTTATCCGTTGTGCTGATCCCATCTCCGAACCCTCTTCCTCACTCGTTGACCAGCGGGCGAGACCGTTCCGATATTTTGAATACATAAAATTACTACAGTTGCAGGGTGGCCAATGACGGTCCTGACACGAATTTATCAGAAAATTCTGAAAGACGTAGTCATATGAGTGATACCTTATCAAAGCGGGCCCTGTAGTGGGATCCATTGCGTTCTGTTCCACCTCATTTTTTCTCTTGGGCGGTAATTTCAGCAGTTGAAATCAGTCCGACGAAATATACGCATCTCCATCCAGTGATAAGCAGCAGTTCAAGTTAGTTTGGGAGGAAATGGTGCAGTGGCAAAGGCGCTGCCCACTATGCGCATGGTCCGAAGACTGACTCTCGAATTGATTTGCCGGTGTTTGTCAAAAATTTGGTCCCCGTGTGGTCGGCTCATGGATACAGTGTGCAGCGCTAAGATGAGTAAGTGGCGCATCAGTACCCCAACCCCGCCAGAAAATTTTCTCCAGTCGCTTTGTAAGCGGGTGTTATAGTCCCTCCGTCGGGTCCAGTAAGTGTTCAGGCTCTCCAGCAGGTTCAGGCTGTCTAGGCTTCTCAGCTAGAACGGGGGAGGGGTCCACGAGGCTCAGGCAAACCGGGGGCAGCTTCTGTTCCAGAGGTCCTACTGATACGACCCACTCTGGTCCATCCTACGTTCTACCATCTTTCCAGATTCTCCCGGCTCCCCTGCTACATTTTTCCAGTTTTTAGGAGTTTCCTAACGTTGTGCACCCTGACCATGAGTGGTGCCAGACTTGCACAAGAGAGGGTGAAACTGAGATTGCTTTGGGTGTTCCCCCATTAGTTGGCCCCAAAAGGTTTATCCTTTATCAGTAGCTCTTGACATGGGTGGCTTTACCGCGCCTATTGGCTTTTCCACTTCACAGCCTTCGACTGTTTAGAGCCTAGGCTCTCTCGGGAGTCCCACAATTTTACGGGTAGATCGGGGAATTCCTTGCTGAACGTTTCGGGCAGAGTAGCACTCAAGTTATCAATCCATTTTCCATTATAACTGAATTTATAGTTAACACCCCTCACCCCCTTGAAAACCCTTAGGTGATGTCGCAAACATCCGCATGAAATCGGACATTAGTGAAAATTCCGTGGTCGACTGGTTCAATTTGCGCTAGCGCTAAGAGCGTCACGACTGTTCTTTGCAGAACAAATCATATCAGCCTAATCTCTCTTAGTTATCGCCCATATTTCACGTTTACCTGACAAATTAACTCCCAAATTTTCCTCAATGATGACTTTTTATTATTCAAATAAATTATGTCGATTGCGTGAACACTACGTACAACAACGATGACGTGATGACGGCACGACGTAGTTTGACATCGTCTACCGTATCCCGACGTGACGATTGCTTTAACGACGAGTTCCGTCTTCGAAGAACACTCCACCGTCGATGGCACAGTATTTGGGACAGATACCCTTCTCTCCAGGAGTTCCGGCTGGTCCAGGTGGTCCAGGTGGTCCGGCTTGTCCGTCGCTTCCGGGTGGTCCGTCGGGTCCTGGGGATCCCTTGGGTCCAGCAGGTCCAGGTGCTCCATCGTTTCCTGGTGCTCCAGGGGGTCCAGGTGGTCCGGGTGGTCCTGAAATAGAGTGTGTTGAATTCGAGTAAATGAAAATGAAATCTTAGCAAAGTTATTCAAACATTAATTCAAATAGTACGGTCAATATTGTAAAGCTCACCTTGGTCTCCGGGCTCTCCAGGTGCTCCAGGGGTGAGTGGCTCGCTCTGTGCGGGTGTTCCGGGCTCTCCAGCAGGTCCAGGCTGTCCAGGCTCTCCAGCTGGTCCGGGAGGTCCACGAGGTCCAGGTGATCCAGGGGCAGCATCAGTTCCAGGGCGTCCAGGGGTACCAGCCTCTCCTGGGTCTCCGGGTGATCCAGGTGGTCCTGGAGGTCCGGGTGGTCCCTTGTGGGCATGGTTTGCATGGTGGTGGAGTAGTAGGCTCACATGGAGCAGTTGGTGGTTTTCCGGGTACTCCTGGGGTTCCAGGTGCTCCTGGACGACCAGGCTTTCCGGGCTTTCCAGGAACTCCAGCAGGTCCAGGTGGTCCAGGAAGGCAACATCCTTCGCACTGGAGATTTGGTGCGGGGTTGACTTCAGGGGCACCATAACCAGACTGACGGCTAGTACGGTTACGAGGGGCAGATGGACCGGAGTTGGCCTTCATGAAGTTGACCTCAGCGAAGATATCCTTAGCGGATCCCTAAAAGGCCATAATCATGACAAAGCAAGAAAATAAGGAATAAAATATAGAGGAAATCATTGAATATTGATAAAAATAATCGGACCAAATGACGCACCTTACAGAATGAGATCTCATGTTGCATCTGACGTCTAACATGGCTAACATAGTTATAAACCATGGGAAGTGTTAGTACGACCGATAGGACGGCGACCACTGAGAACGAAACGGCCGCATAAGCGACAAACTTATAAGCTTTTGTGCGTCCATCGGACTCCATGGTGGACTGCGTCGGCAACGGTCCACAAATGCGCCTTTTGTAGGCACGGCCTCGATCTCTCCCCACTCGCGCGCCCCCTCACGAATCGGGATCGAGGCGTGGGCGTGCCATACCACGCCCCATTATACTTTGCATGTAGATATACAATACAATCGGCTTCGGCGATCGCAAATGTCACAGCGTATTCGTTTGATGAGTGCATGGGATACTTCCCAAAGAGTTCAGACAAATCAAACAGTCAAATTAATTAAATTTTATCTTTTGCATCACAGTATACAAGAGAGATGGGCCCTTATCATAGGCTTGATATTATCGGTGTTTATTCCTTTGAGCTGCCCGTTATCGCTTTATTGCCCAACCTTGCCCGGATGGAACCAGATTTTGAGGTTCCAAAGATCGGTGATATCACAGAGAAATTTATGAGAGATGGAAGTTCGTGACGGATTTGAAATGGCTCAATCGTGCTTAAATCGACTCTTTCTTTGAAAGCACTCTTGTGCTTCGATAAAGCAGGCCATTGTGAAAGCTGGAACGAAGTTCTTGATAACGATCGAACTCGAAACAAATACCCCCCTCCCACACATCTTGCTTGACCGTTACTATTTCACCCTATTCTGCACTCTAATAAAAGAGAATATGGTTTCCCTTAGGTGGTCATCTTATTCTGATCACCTCATTTCTTCCTGGAACTAAAAGAAAGGATCCAGCTCACATCTAATAAGGACCGATGCGTCTCTTGTGGAGACACCAGGTTTGTAGGAAAATTCAATTGAATGGCGTCTAGCTTTTCTTTTCGCAGCTTCGTCACCCAGGTGGATCACTGGCTAGTGCGATTCCATTCGCAGGTCGGCTTAGAGGGGCATTTTGCTCTTTCGCTATTCCCATTGAAGCGTTGAGCCATCAAGTAGAGATTTGTGAAAGCTCTTGAAGCCACTGCTGAAGTGATAGGAGCCAAAGTTTGTAGAGACCACTTGTCAACTCATGTGAAAAAATACCTGTTAATTCTTGTAAAGTAATGAACACGATGATGGGAAATAATAGCAGTGCAAAATGCCCCTCTTAAACCAAACTGCACCCAATACTATAATAAACAGGATGTGGAGCAAAAAAGTTTTCTCTTCAAAATGATGTCGACACTGGACCGTTCCTGGTGATTGTACAGTTCCGTTCGGCTTGGAAGGTGTATTTTGCTCTTCGCCAGTTTTTTTTTGTTTCAGATAACACCGTTCATCTTGGTGTAACCTGTGAATTCCTGCAAAACTGCGAAATGGTGCATGTGAGCCTCCTTGATCACAGAGATTTGCAAGTTTTCGCAGGGGGTCTTATACATGTTCAACTGAGTATTATTTGCTGCCCCCACCAAGCCGATTTTCGTCTCGGCTTTTGCAAAACTCACGAAATTCTTCTCACATGCAATAAAGAAGAAGCAAAAGAAAGAAAAAATGAATAAAACAAGAAAAGAAGGTGTTCCTCCCCGCTAAAGCTGATGATAAAGCTAATGATTTACAACCAGCCGAGCCGAATGAGCCTTCCGTGCTGGCCTGGTTGCAAGTTTCCTTTAGCGATAATTCCTATTAACCACTCGGAGCGCATGGATACGCACGATTGCTTGAAGCTTCCCTGGAACAACTGAGGGCTATGAATCAGGAGGATCTTATCCCTGTTGAAAGTCTGAAAATCTTGATCTATTTTTGAGGCGTTGTGACGTAGCTGAGCTGTCCCAGAGCCTCATCTGGGGTTAAATGAAGAGACATCAAAAAGTTCCATTTGGCCCAACATTCTTATTGAACCTTTTCAGAGGCCAGCAGTTTTAATCTGGAAGCTTGAAGCATCTTGATATGAGGTGTGAAATTACGATGTCACTACGAATTCCCCCCCCCCCTCAAATTTCCTCATATGGTTCGACCCTCCTCCTTCCTACTGAGCACCTTCATAACTGTTCAGGACTTCCTACCACTTTTCCCAGTTTTCAAGCAATTTTCTCGATTTATCCTTTTTCCAGTTTTCCGAAAAGTTTTCGGGTTTCTCGCCAAAACTGCCAGGGCTGTCGAGCGGGAATGTGGGGGAGATGGGGGGTGGGGGGGGGGGAGGCGGAGGAGGAAAGGTGTTACCAAGGAAGTACCAATTCCAGCTATTAGAAATACAAACTATACAGAAATATTGGGAAAATTCATTGCGGCTCATACAGTTTTCTTCGAAAACCAGACAACCACCTTCTACCAAGTACCCTCCCAACATGGAATTCTCCCAACTTTCATGCTGTAGCCTGCCCAACGATGAAGCAGGGAAGCCCACCGTCACATGAAAGCGGTAGTTAGCCGCGGCTATTTTTGAAAATCAGCTTGCATCTTATCTTCATTTGCCCCCCCCCCGAATTGCGAATTGCTAGCAAAACCATGAAAAATGAAATATTAATCGAGTGGTGTTGTATTGCAATTGTGTTCTATTCTTGTATTGTATTGTAATATTTGTGCATGTTCTCATTCTACCTATCTCGATCTGGGCACGTCCAGCTGTTGGGGAGGATTTTCGCAAAATGCGATCCCCTGTGAAAATTACCCTTCTGGTAATTCTGTGCCCCTTCTTCACCCCCTATGTACCATCTCCTTGAACTCTCTAGTTCCTATATCACTTTTTCCCCAGTTTTCCTGGAACTTTCCTGTTCGATCCCTTAAACGAGAAAGCGGGGCGGGGGAACTGGTTAAAGGGGGGGGACATATAGGGCATTTGAAAGCGAGAAATCGGGAAAGTTGGCAAGTGGAAACGTTTTCTCAAAGGCAAGTTCCCGCCAGCCAGCGACCAAATACGACCCCCTCGCTAGGAGTCTACGTTTGAAGTGCCCTCTACAAAAAAGCAGGTTATTTTCATATCAGACAGTAGATACTTCTAGTATTGTCAACTCTTTATTATGCAGAATTGCGGAAATTAATTAGCATTTCAGTTTGAGGTATAAGAAGGTATCACAGACAGTTCTTGTGAATGGTTAGTATACAGTAAACGTCTCAGCACTTGCAGGTTATACCCGATTTGAAAGCATGGAAAATCATAAAGCACATAATGGCAAATGGAAATCATGACTAGAGCCACAGACACGTTTTCCCTGACCCCTGAATGAGAGATTCTCCCAAGGGGGGGGGGAGGCCTCATTCGAGACAACGGAGCTCAGATCGATGATTTCGACATCGATTTCCACGATGGTTGCTCTTGTTGATGTTTAAAAAGTATAGGTCCCTATTCATATCCAGCACGAATTTGACGACGTTCTTTCGCTGAAGAATTCCACAGACGAGCAGCATCGCGAACCCGACACCCATGAATAGGCAGCCAGTGATGATGAACGGCGTTTCGGTGTGCTGAAATTAAATCTATTTATTATCTTTATCTATTTATTTATTTATTTATTTATTTATTTATTCACGCAAACGCATGTGGCTGCAACAATTTTGTAGGGAGGCTACAGATATTTTGAAGATTTGCTTCTAGAAAACAAAAAACGTATAGGACACGTCTTACCGTTGGGGAAAATTTTACAGAATATGACCCCTACAATAGTTAGTCCTCCTCCAATACGAACCAGGGCATGTCATTGGTTGGGGATTTTGGACGAGTCCGCGCGACCCTCCCCTTTTTTTGGGGGTTGGTACGACCCCTCTGTCCCTCCTCATCAATCGAGCCGTCGAGCGGGGAGGGAGGGGGGCATAAAACAGGAAAATCACGAAAAGTCAACCACCACTCCTACCACTCCTAGAAGGCCACGGCCAAAAAGTAAATACGACCCCCCCCTCCCAACAATGAGCAAGTACGACCCCCTCCCCCCCCCTTTACAACGTCCGTGAAGCGAGAAAAATCAACTATCAAAATAAATTTTTCCTCAGCCCAAATACGACCCCCTCTCCTGGCGGCCAAATACGACCCCCCCCTGTTGGGGATTCCCCAACAACGATGTGCCCTGATACGAACCCACTCCCCCCTTCTTCATCCCCATCCTTCCTACAATCCTTTCAGATTCACCGACGACTGTGGTATGATTGTTGCGCGCCCAAACTGGGGAAAACCAGCAAACGAATAATTTCTCAGGTCCAAGTACGACCCCTCCCTCCAGCAACCAAAAGCGAGCCCACCCCCTCCCTTCCCTCGCTGAACGTCCCTCATGCACATACGACATACTCCGATTTAGAACGCCAAGACTACTTACAGACCACACCCTCCTAATTCTGTTCTACCGAGAATCTTCCAAGATTTTCACACCGTTCTACCAATTCCCTGGGCTTTTTTTCGAGATTCACCAGCTTACCCCGGAAAAACTGCGTGGGAAATTCCGTCTTCTAGCTGTTAAATGCTCCTAGGCTCCTGAAACAATCCACTGAACTAGGCCGTGGCCTATAACCTAATACCCCCCCCTCCCAACGGATTCTGTAAAGATGATGCAAACTGTTCCCAATTAGGTGTTGTTTTCACATCAATGGTGGTGTAATAGTAAACGAGATCTAATCGTAAAGCGGATCAACGTATAATTCTGTTTCTAAGAGGGTCACTAGGTTTTCTCCAGTGCTCATTTCGTCATATTTGTTCCTTCGCTTTAGCGTGGTGTGATGCTTATCTGAGGGGCAATTGTGCAACACTGGCCGATCTGCGTCGGATTCCGATGGGCTTTCAAGATTTCCGTTGGTGTCACCCTTTCGCCACCCACGAACATCGCATAGTGTCGGTGAAAAGCGAATCGAGAAAGCGGCGTAAAAACGAAAGGAATGCAAAAAACTGACCATAACGAGTACGATGAGTCAGGAAGGGGCGGCGAACTGGTCGGGCTCGGTGGAATGCGGCTATCTGACCTAACCTATTGGACCGCTTTTTCGGTTCACGGGATAAAGCGAACCATTGCCAAACCCGCAAGCTGGTCATTTGCTGGCTTGCCATCTTAGCTTCGGCGCTTAGGGAACGAGGGATAAGCCTGCCATTACAAAGTACTTTATGTCCTAATCCCGTGACTACTGTGAGGG